GACAACACGCGCCATTGTAACATGGCGCAAGGCTCAGTGTTTGGCAGTGTTGATTCGCTGCGAGCTTACCAGGTGTCTTTGGACCAGATTTACCGTGGAGCTACGAGACGTGCCATCATCCCAACGTTGAGCCGCGAATTGTCTCCTGCATGTCATCGTGTTCTCGAGTCAAGTTTCGGCAGTTGAGGTGCGTGTACAAGCTGGGCAGCTGAAATGAATTGCGAAGAAACTGTGGCAGGCACGTTCCTCCTTTGCTTTTGAGACTGCCCGGCATGAAACAGAAGCATGGCAGGATGTTTTCGACGTGAAAATTCCCTGTGGTGCTCCAGACGGTCACCGAGTAACTTTCAAGGACAAGGCCAACCGCTTGGCTTGGCTTGTCGTTCAGCTGCCATGCACAATCTCATGTTCTCATGAGAAATCATGACGATGCGAGAGAGTACGCATGTTTTCCTGTCGACTCACCTTCCTTCCGGACGTACCGAGCGCTTCAGCAGTTTGGCTATGCCTGCCTTTTGCACAGGTCTGCCGGACCCAACGCTGTAGACCCCAAACCATCAAGCCCAACAGCTAACTCCCGCAAGTTCCCCGAACCCAGCAAGTTCAAGGACGAAGGAAGCGGCAAGTCACAAAACCTCAGCCCGCATAGCCGGGGAATCGAAGACTCCTCTCAGATGCGGCATGGTCTTGCAGGCTTTTCCAGCAGCGACTGCATTCCTGGTGCTGCTCAGCCTGTCTCCGAAGGGGCTGGCTGAGCAGTGCCTTAATGCCACAAGCTTTGGCTTCACACGGAAGACTTCCTTGAGAACATCGAGCTTTGGCGAGCAGGATTTCGTGCTAACCATCGCGTCCGGGCTATGGGACACGAGCGACTTAGCGGCCAACCTTGTCAAGATCTTGGCTGAAGACTTGCTGGGCGTACAGGCGAGGACCTGGGCAGCACTACTCCTATCATAATGTTGTGACAGGTGATCTAGGCCTGCCACAGATTTCAATGGCACAAGGGATGCAAATCCATCCAGACAATTAGGACTGAGACTGAGACTTGAAGTTGAGCTAAGCATGAATGTGCAACATAGCACAATTTGTGAGACGACAGGAGACATTGGGCGACAACTATAGAACGTATCTAGGGATCGGATACCAAAACAGGCGTTTTTGTTCTGTTGGGACTGGATCTAGCAAAAAACAAGCCAACAACGGTGACAGGTGATGACAAAAGATACTCTTGTGGCATCTTACACGATAGAATGTTTTCTTCTCTGCAGCAAGTGTCCAGTGCAACAGTACTTGAGACAGGATCTAGTACCCAGCAAGCAAAGTAGTGAGTTGCAAGTTTTCTGAGAGTATTTCTGAGGCAGCGTTTTGCACTTTAGAGTTTCCACTGGTTTCTAGCTGCCGGCTCGTCATCCATCATCATCATCATCATCGTCATCAGATCATCATGGTTGACACTTCCCGAGAAGATCCATGCATGCTCCAAATTGCTTGTTCCAGTCCGGTTCTTGGCGAGCTGCCACCGAGCCATGGGTAGTTGTGTAGGTCAACGTCCTCAACCACTTCACCTTCAGCAGCGACAAGAGCTTGCAGCTCGTGGCAGGCCTGGAGTTTCCGACGGAAATCGATTTCAGAAATGCCAGCCTACGAGAGATGCCCTTGGCCCAAATTTCCATGGACGTCTGGCAGACGGCATCCTGGCAGACCTACAGCTACCTCAGAGACAATGGCCTGCTCAGAAGGGTTACAAACATGGGCGACGCGGGCTATAGCCCGCAGGCCGCAATGTACACCTTCCGGCCACTCGTCGAACATGCCTGGGCGGAGAAGCGGCTAGCCTTGGATTTCTACAGGACCTACATTTCTGATGTGGACACAGTCCTGGGCTACTTCAATACAACTGCTGAGATTCTCGATGTCATGTCCGGGCTCAACATAAGTCCAGGATGCTTGAGGTTGCCAGGAGCACAAATTGGCCATGAGACCCTAGGCACCGCAAACGCGGAGGTCTACCAGTGTGACGCCGACGGCTTTTACTACCCCCCAGGATGCAGGGTGGGAGGTGAGGCCGCAGGTGCTATTTTAGCTGGCAGGTGCGTGCCCTTTCTTGTAGGAGGATACTGGCCCTTTGACACTGTGAAAGTGGCGCAGCTGGTGACGCGCACGGGTGTGCCAATCGCAGTTACTTGGGTGGAGATCCCAGAGCAGATTGCCTTGGTAAGTAGTCAGCCCGCACATGGCACAAACTTCATTTTCTGGTGGTCAGATCACTTCCGATGGTACCAAGAGATTTCTCCGGTGCATTTGCGTTTCGACAAGTATGACGAACGTGCCTGGCTGGCCGGCGACGTCACCACAGATGTCGGGCAGAACCCTGTGATCAAATACATCTGGGGGGACCTTATGTATGTAGAGGAGCAAGTGGCCATCCTTGTACAGAATTACCGTATCTTGATGGAAGACATGAGGGCAATGATGATCAAGCAG